TTTTTGTCTTTCCACTTTTTAGCTTCTGTTTTGTGTTTAGCATATGTGCTAAATTTGAAATTGTTGTGTGCTTCTTTTATGAGGTACTTCGCTGTAAATGAATCATTATTCCAGCCATTGTCTACCCACTGCAAGATGAAGGCCTCTTCTGCATGTTTCCAACCAATATGGTCCTGAGCTTTCTTTTGCTAACTGGGCCTGTAATACTTGCTTGTGATGGCCATGAATAGATTTGTGTTTTAGGTTATTAGCCATGAATAGATTTGTGTTTTAGGTTATTAGAAGAAAGTATTTGCTACAAATATTGACATTTGTTGGCAGTGCTGTTAGTAGTTTATCTCTGCTTGATTTTTTACAACAGGACCAACTTTTCCTGTTATTCTAAGGTAACCAACCGTCCTCCTTTAGGGAGGACAGTCCTCCTTTTGTAAGTTCTGTCCTCCCTCGAAAAGCGTCCTCCTACATGTCCTCCTTTTCGATATTTGAAGACTAATCTGCAGGGCTTTTTTTTTCTCATAGAATGCTCAGAACGGCGTTCCGGCGCCTTTTTTGATGGTTTTTTTTCAACTTTTGCATGAGCTATGCTACTCCCCCTATTGGCTTTCAAAAGCCAATAGGAATTGCTGCTGAGCGCGCCAAACACCCGGCCGGCAAACTTTGCACATGCAAGTTGTCTGCAGCAAAGGCGAATTGGCAGGAACTTTGCACCCCTCCCTGCTACCCAACTACACCATCTCCTAGTTAGTCCCAAAGATACCTGGAGGAGACTAACTTCCATTTAGGGATGGAAAAATCAAAAAAGAGGAAATGCCATTTCAACGATAAATTGAATAAGGAATTTTCATTCATCACATCAAAGAAGGATAACATTGTTTTCTGCAATATTTGCAGCTGAGAATTTTTTATTGCAGTTGGGGCAGAGCAGCTATTACGAAACACTTGACCACCAAGAAACATAAGCAATCATCAGATGCATCTGCTTCCAGTTTTAAAGTAACAAGGATTTTTAAAACTTCAAAGTATTCTGAAGATGAAAAACAGTGAGTTGCAATGGAGGGAACATTTGCATTCCATACCATACCATAATTCACAATCAAAGTTTTCGTAGTATGGATTGTACTACTAAATTATTGAAAAAGTTTCATGATGCTAAATTTTCATGCGCCAGGACAAAATGCGAGGCTATTATTAAATCAGTATTTAAAAATTATTGTGACAAAATACTTACAGAAGACTTGGAAACTGCAGCATCTGTAACGGTTTTATCTGATGCATCCAATCATAATGAAATTAAATTGTATCCAATAGTAGTAAGATATTTTAATGTTACCAAGGGCATTCAAGTAAAAATTTTAAATTTAGAATCCATTGAGGGCGAAACTGCTGAAACTTTGTCAAACCATCTATACAGAGTAATAAATGAAAACAATTTGAAATCCAAAGTTGTTGTACTAACAGCTGATAATACAAACACAAATTTTGGTGGGAGAAGACGCAAAGGGGTGAGTAATGTGTATGTAAAATTACAAGATTTACTCCAAAAGAAAATACTAGGAATAGGTTGTAATGCACATATTTTGTCAAATGCAATCAACACGGCATCATGTGCCATGCCAATTGATGTAGAAGTAATAATAACTACAATTTATTTGTATTTTAGTTATTTTATTGTTCGTGTGGCTACTTTAAAACAATTTTGTGAAGAAGTGAATGTTCAATACAAAAAACTTTTAGGATATTCAAAAGTTAGATCGCTTGCTCTAACACCTGCTATAGAGCGTGTTCTACAATTATTTGAGCCTCTCCGTACATATTTTTTAAGTTTAGACTAATGTCCTAAAATCCTGGAATCATTTTTCAGTAATGAAATATCTGAGATATTAATGTATTTTGTACATATTCAAGCATCTATTTTTCACAAAACAATTCAAAAGATTGAAGGTGAACACATTTCAGCTACAGAAGTTACTCTTATTTTGAATGACTTTATCCTTCAATATAAAACTCAATTTGAAGAAAAATTTCTTCCTTTAGTTATAAAAAGAAAATTGTCAGACTTAGAGGAATCAAATCCGGGCATAATGGAAAAGTTTATCAAAGAAGTGCAGAATTTTTACCAAACATGTTTTCAATATATCGAAGAATGGTCTGAAACAAACAACACAGGAAATAACAGTTTTCAATGGTGTTTTTTGACTTCATCGCAAGTATATTGGACAGATATTAAATCTCGTGTTGAGTTTTTATCTAAAGAAATGCCAGACATTAAAATAGACGACAATTGTCTCTTTGAAGAAATTAGAAGACTGAATGTATTTTTAAATTCTGAAAAATTAATACAATGGGAAAATAAACACGTTGGAATTGATAAAAGATGGGTGAAAATATTCAGCCATTTAAAAAATGAACATATTCCACGTGAAAATTTATTTATTCTTGTTCAATTTACGTTGTGCTGCCCTGGAACTAATGCAGCAGTTGAAAGGGGTTTTTCAATTGCTAATGATTTTTGGAAAAGTGAGAAATCGAGATTGAATGTTAATACTCTAGCTGCAGCACTTGCCGTAAAATTCAATATGAAGGATATTTCTTGTTCAGATATTTCCAATATATTGTTAGAATATGATACATTGACAAAAAATATTCATTCAATGGAAAAGTACTCATTTAAATAATAATTAATAGGCATGTAAGCATAATTACAATATAAAATGTTATTGTTACAAATGTTTTTTATTATGCATTATCATAATTATAGTGTATTCTGTATTATTGTTGCAATGAATAAAATGTTTCTTTTATTTACAATATTTTTTTCTTCAATTTATTTGTGTCCTTTTCATTGTAAAAAAGTTGGCCACCTTAGTTATTCCAGATGTTATTTTACTTCCAGTGTTTACATTTATACCTTCTATAATTTATATTTTTGGAAGGGGGAAGCTATACCAAGATGTTGCATGTCAGCATAGAACCAATTTCCTAATTAATAAGGAAATATTATTAATAATAATAAATGCTAGTTGGCCTTACAACATAGTATTTCACAGCCTAAAGCTCTTGTTTAGTATTTTAACCAGTCATATTCATTCAGTTAATTAACACCACTTGTTATTAATTTATATGTCTTCATTATTCTCTTTCACCCTTCTTATTTTCTTCCTAGAATTGCTCAGCCTTTATGGCCTTCAAGCATTTCCAGTTTTGAGAGTTTCTATCACTATCAAATGCTCTATTTTTGTAATATTTTTTTTCATTTTGATAAACTTGCAGATCCTACCCAAGTCTGCAAGCACTATTGTGAAGAGATGATGTCATATTTGCTTACATAATGATTGTAATAGTAAAACTTAGTTAATTAGCTGTATATTTAAAAATATATTTACTAAACTTCCAAGATTTGGAAGTTTGTGGTAGGAGTGTGATATATAAGCTGTAGACAGCAGGATAGGTTGAATAAGAAGAAAATGTACATGGGGTACAATGTTCTTTTTAGATAATTACACACATCAGTTCTGAATGCATTCTCTTTTATAACATTAGCTAATTTTCCCAAGATTTAATAGGCAAACCAGCCCATTTTTAAATATTTCCTTTCCAAATGCAAATGGCATTGACAGTACACTCCTTAGGAAATGACAAACTGTCCTAAATATTTGTCTTCCTGGTAAACAACTTAAAATAAATTCCCTCAGTATCTTTTAATTGTATGGCTGCTTAGGTTATCCTGTCATTTCACATGGACTGTAATCACCAGGCCAATTATTTGCGACAATTTCATTCTGCTTAATTATTTTCAAAGAACATAATTATCCCCATCATGCATAGGGAAACATAAATACCAGCATTAAGATTGGAACCCAACAATTGCTTTAGTAAAAGATGCTCAGTTCAATTAGTATTATTTATTTCTGCTGTGTTATTATAAAGAGCCCTTATTACCAAGAACATGCCCAGCATGGTCTGTGAAAGTGCCTTTGGCCTGAACAGCAGGAATGAGTGTGCTAAAATCATGTGGGGTGATACTGTCTTTTCTTTTTCTAGAGTTTTCATACCATGCTCATACATGCACTTTTATATGCCAGCTGCTGTAATTTCCTGCAACTTCCTTACCAGCTGGGATTACATTTCTTTCAGACCAAAAAAGGGGGTGACAAATTGGTCTTTCTCATCACGTTGGGCATTGAGGTGCAAGAAGGGAAAAAAGAGAATCTTCTTTCTTCTTAGTCTACACAATGTTGGATACAGTTTAGTTTACAGTGTAGTTGTCCCAAAGAAACTGGACTTCCTTGTTTTTCCTTGAAAACGTTAGAGAGTTGCTGGGGCCATTTGGGGCCATCAGAGAAAAACAAGAAAGTCCAGATGCCTCCAGAAAAAAGCACCTTTGGGACAATCATACTTGGATGACTGAGAATCTCCATAGACATTTAGCTATGCACTTTAGGATGAACACCTTTGCATGTTGTGACTCTCTAAAAGAATGCAAATGATCAGCTGTCTGCAAGCAATATAAATCCTTCCACTCCTCACCATCTAGTCAGAGCTGAAGAAGCTTCTTGGATGAGAAGCGAAGCATCTTCAAAGAAAAACAAGAAAGTCCAGTTGCCTCATGAAAAAGCATCTCTGAGACAACTGTGACCTGGATGACTGAGAATCTTCATAGACATCTACAGTGTAGTCTACACAGACTCAATATAATTCAGATTCCAGAAGGAAAGAACTTCCCTTGGGATGTTAATGGAGATCATATTTCCCTTCAAACAAAAATATATAAGGGTTCAGTGTTTGCTAAAGCTCTTGAAAAATGGCAAAAGTTGGTGGCTTACAGCAACATTCATTCATCCATCCATCCATTTATCCATCCATCCATTCATTCATTCATTCAATTTTTATAGCTGCTCAACTCAACCAAGTGACAATAGTTGACAGGTGGATAATTGACAGTAACCTGAATGCATTTCTCTGTGTTGATCTTTCCATCATTTGGGTGATTTTCTTTACAGATCTGTACCCCAGATTTGGTGGTGTTCTTGTCCTGCTCAAATCAACGACTACAAGAACGCCTAATGAAACGCGCCGAACAGCAGGGGAGGCCTGACGATAATCTGAAAGCTACACAGAGACGCCTGACTAATTTCAAGCAGAATGCTGTTCCGCTGGTCAAATATTTCCAGGAAAAGGGTCTGATTGTGACCGTAAGTTTTTAAATCTGTATGCGTTATAAATTAATTTCAGCTAGCAAAATTCAGGCAATGATGATCTGACCTCTCATGCTTTTGAGAATAACTATTTAAATCATTAAACGTTTTATTCATGTTTGATTGAGGACTCCTGCAGTCACACTAAGACTGAGAGGCCTCAGTGACTGTTTCATGCTCACTTGATGTATAATTTATATAGCTGTTGCCTTTTTGATCAAAGCCCTTTCTGTTAGAGAAGAAATAATTTGTTATCTTACAACACCCATAAAAGTTCCTATCAGAGAATCGGGTAAGTCACTTGGTGAAAGAGAGATGCTTTATATCCAAAATTGTTCGGATGGAAATGGTCTGTGTCAATCCATTTTTTTGCTTGGGATCAGCAGAAGAAAAATTATGGCCAAATTTAGGGATGCTATAAGGTAGCTCAGTATTTCTCAACCTCAGCAGCTTTAAGATGTGTGGACTTCATTCATGCTTGCTGGAGAATTCTGGCAGCTGAGATCCACACATCTTAAAGCTGCTGCAGGCTGAGAAACACTGAGCTGTAGAGAATATATTTTGAGCTGGACACTAATTTGGAATAAATACAGCCATTCTGATAATAATAAATTACAGGTGGTCCTCATTAGACGACAGCAGGAAGCAATGAAAAAAAATATTTTCATATATGGTCAGTCTTCACATTTATGACCTCCAGAGATCTGTAAAACAAGGGGAAAGCTGAAGTAAAAATCAGAAGCACAGTCGTAGTTTCAATTAGCAACTGTTTCAATTTGTGACTGATTTACTGGTCCCAAATGTGGTCGCTAAAATAAATAAAAACTACCTGTATGTTGAATGTATAGTACAGCTTATTTTCAGATTCTGCTTGGCATTGCAGAACTTTTATCCTGCAATTATAATACTGCCCAGAATTCAAAAGCAAAGAGTCAGCAAGTCTGGAAAAGATAATGTTTCATACTTGTTATACCACAAGATGAAGCATTGGAATGATATATTATTGTAAACAATAAATATATCCTTAGGTGTAGAACTGGAAATCAATCATAATGTTGAATCTGCTTGTTAAAAGAAAGGATTGTTATAAGATGAATTCTGTAGCTCTTTCAAATCAATGCTTCTTTATAAAAGAAACCAGACGTGCAAAACAAGCAACTCAGTGAAATATTATAGGAGGATAGGCTGAAAGCAGCAAAAAATGATCTTTTGGCCAGAAAGAGATCTGTCAGAAGGCTGGAATATCTGTAGGAGTCTGCAGAAAGATTTCTTCAGCTCTGTGAAAAGGGGGAGGAAAACGATGTTCTGATTTCAAGTTATATCCCAATTTTGCATTGCTTAGACAGTTCCATTAGTTAACAACAAATCAAACTCTTTTATCTCTTACTTTTCTTCAATAATTGCAGTTGGACCTAGGGAGAAATTCATCTAGCATGGATGGGTTCCTCAAGTTATTTCCAAATTACCTCTTCTCAGTATCTCTTAACAATTGGTCATATTGGTTGGGAATGTTGAGTTGCCCACAACAGCTGGAGGGCCACAACAGTGCTGGGTTTTTTCTCTCTCCCTGCAGATCAAAGCGCAAATTAGAAAGCAACTACATTTAAAAAAAAAATCTTGGCTTTAGACAAAAGGCTGGGTCCTCATCTGCCCTGGTCTAAGACTGAGCTAACAGCCTTAATGGATTTTACTTTGTTTTTGAGACCATACCAAAACAAACAAAACAAAATCCCCAAATATTACATTGGAAGAGACAGTGCACTTTTGAAAACATTTTATTGCACCAGTATTTAGTTATTATACTGGAAAGTAGTTTTTCAAAAGCTCTTCCTTTGAACCCAAGCAGCAGAAGAGGCTCAGATATTCTCTAAATCAGTGGTTCTCAACCTGTGGGTCGGGACCCCATTTGGGGTCGAATGACCATTTCACGGGGGTCGCCAAACCATGCTGTCCGCCATTTTTTCCCTTTTCCCTAGCTGTCCTACTCCCTCTTATTGGTGGCCACACCCATTTGGGGGTCACCACAACATGGGGAACTGTATTATGGGGTCACGGCATTAGAAAGGTTGAGAATCACTGCTCTAAATAATGCCTGCATCAAAAGTCCAGATACTAGACAAGATAATGTAGTATCACATAACACAGTTTGAAATCGTTGATTCTCTGGACATTTACATTCTATGGTGTATATACAGTTAATCCTTGACGTACGACCTCAATTGAATCCAAAATTTATGTTGCTAACCTTTGTTAAGTGAATTTTGCCACTTTTTTACCATCTTTCTTGCCATAGTTGTTAAATGAATCACTGCAGTTGTTAAGATAGTAATGTGATTATTAAGTGAATCTGGCTTTGCTAATGACTTTGCTTGTCAAGAGGTCACAAAAGATGTTCACATGACACCGGGATACTGCAACTGTCATAAATATCAGTTGCCAAGCATACAAATTTTTATCACAGGACCATGGGAAGGGTGCAATGGTTGTTAAGTCTGAAAAATGGTTGTAAGTCACTTTTTTCAGTGACCGTTAAATGGTCATTAAATGAACTGTTGTAAGTTGAGGAATACCTGTAATCCTCATTGTTATAGTCACCGACCAGCATTTGTACAATTGTTATAAAAAGTTACAAAGTTCAAATGAAAACGCAGAAGCATTTCTAAAATCAATAGAAAGAATAATAAATTATTCATAATGATGCTATAAATAGAGTCTTCATTTTAAAACTATTAATTTAAACAAATAGTAAATATAGCAAGATTATAAAACTGCTACGAAATTCTTAAAAACTTGCTTACTAAATGCTAAACTGCTCACCATATATGCAAACACAAATACAAACTTACTGGGATGAATGACTGGTGAGTTGTAAACTAAATTATATATTTGAGGGATCCTAAAGATTAAAGGAGGAGTTTTCTCTTTCTCTCTCTCTCTCTCTCTCTCTCTCTCTCTCTCTCTCCCTCCCTCCCTCCCTCCCTCCTTCCCTCCCTCCCTCCCTCCCTCCCTCTCTCTCTCTCTCTCTCTCTGTGAAACCAGATGCCTTAAAAGTCTTCTTTATTTCTGCTGAAGTATTTACAATGGCATTTGTTATGTTATGGCAACCATTTTCTTTCCTGTTCCAGCAGTAGCACACAAAAATGAAAAAGGAGTTCAACCATGTAATTAAAGTTAAAAAAAAGAAGTTACCTAGAATACATTGAGATTCATAAACCCAGGATATGCAAAGTTGTGTTTCTGAAGAACCTTTTTATAAGCAGATAAACCAAAAAACAAAACCTGCACCTTTGCAACTCCTCTTTGAGTTGCAAAGGTAATCTTCCTTGATTAAGGGAGAAAAAGTTTTATTTATACAAGCAACTGGTAACATTTAAAAAAAAAGTCCACTGGGAAGAAGGCCTATCACTGATTATTAGTAATAACAGCTATAAGTTATCTTTGATATCAAAAGTATGATTTTTCAATACCATTTGTGCAGAACATGCACAAGAGGATATTATTGCAGTTATGTCCTATTTGTTGACTACTAACAGCCATCCAGCTGACCACTGTGGCAACACATTTTTAGACTGGGCTTACGTTGCGTGTTTTATCTATGGCCAATTGAAGACATTCCTGGTTGTTTTTAATATTTTGTTCAGTGCCGCATCCCTAGGAAGATATTATCAAGTAATCATTGGATGCTGGAGTCTCAACCATTCGTTACTTTAAAAATAGAGCAGGGCTGAAATATGAAAAATCTACAGATTTCATTTGGGAAGTTACATCTTCTTTCCTCATGCTAAGAATTTATTGTCAAGAAGTCAGAGGCAAAACTTCCAGTTTTCCAGGGATACTGTACAGCTTTGTGTTGATCTCAAAATATTTTGAACTACAGATTTTCCTTAGACTTTCAGCAAGGAAGATTTGTTTATTATTTATTTAATATAAAAAGGCTGAGCATTGCAGTCTAAAATAACTGTCAAGACACCAGTTTTGGGAACATTATTATAAAACAACTATACTATGCATTTTAAAGATAAAAATCAGGATATTACAGCTTTTCTAAGGATGTTTCAAATAAAGTAACTCTCTTTGCACAGAAAAAATAGAAATTGTATTTGTGAAAGTTAACAGAGAGCACTAAATTGTAAAGTATATTCAGGAAGCACTACATCTAAGAATATACCTCTGGCTATAGGTTTCAGTCTGCCAAGTGAAAATTGTAGGAATGGCATTAGGTTTCCCGAAGGACTTTTAGCATTCTTCGTATTTTCTTTGTAAGATTCTTTTAGAAAAATGAGAGAATTAAACCTCTTGGAAATCATTTTAATACTGTTGAAGAAAATTATATTTTCTGATGATAACTTGTTTGCTAGCCATTTCTGGGTGATGCAAAAGGGTAATCCGGTCTTGAAATATTGTTTCTTCTATCAAAGATATATCCAGTCTGTTTCTCTTCTCTTTAGTTAGATTCGTTAGAGGGGTTTTTGTGTGTCAGAGAAAGATGCATCCTTTAAACGGAATATGCTTTAACTCTGACTTGTAAGCTTTCTGAATCATATTTATCTTTTTAAATAGCAATAGAGAAATAATCCCCAGTTAAACATAAAAAGGAAAGTCAACTTACAACATGTAAAATGACAACAATGAATATATATTTATATAAAGAAAAGAAATAAATGAAATATAGTACCTAGTTATGTGTCGAAAACAGATGTGTAAAAAGGGGACAAAGTCTACTACCTAAAATGTTCTTTACAAATAGACCATTATTAATTGATTGGCTGTTTATTTTATATTCCCTACACTGCTTTGCATGGTTGCATCTTTCCATATCTCTTTTGTAGTGGAAACCCAGAAAACAGTGGAAAGACTTCCAGCAACAATGCTGTTTTAAAAAAAAACTTTCAGAAGTGCCTTTCATAGAAGGAAAAAAATCATCTAAAGACAACATTTCTGCCCAGGGCCACCTTGAGATGGGTGGCAAATAAAATAAATAAATAAAATTTCCATCT